TGAAGAGTGTTGATTCTGGGGCCAAGCAAACTAAAGCTGTTAACAATCTTAATCTTTTTACCATCTATCATAATTCTGTCAATCAGTCCACTGATAAGAATCTTTGTTTTCTTGATATTGAGCTTCAATCCATATTGAAGGCTGCAGTCCTTGACTTTCTGCAGCAAGTGCTTCAGGTTCTCCTCAGTTTCAGCAAGCAGGATTGTATCATCTGCATAATGCAGACTGTTGATGAGTCTTCTTCCAATCCTGATGCCACATTCTTCCTTATAGAGCCCAGCCTCCCATATATAGATTGAAAAGGTATGGAGATAGGACACATCCCTGATGTAAACCCTTCCCAATGTTGAACCATGCAGTGTTTCCTTGCTCTCTTCTGATGACTGTCTCCTGGTCCAAGTATAGGATTCCCATTTGTCTCAGAGTTAGCCACAGTTTATTATGGTCCACACAGTTAAATGCCTTTTCATAATCAATGAAACACAGACAGACATTCTTCTGGTACTCCCTGCTTTCAGCCAAGAGCCATCTAACATTGTTGTTGTTGTTAAGTGCCAGCCATCAAGTTGTAGGAAACTCATAGTGACCCTATGAACGAAAGACCTGAGCACTGTTCGTAGAGTTTCTGGAGGCAAGCCTCCAAGCTTGTTTTAATCGGGAAGCTCCACCAAACATTATCCAGCATGGGTAAATCATTATTGCATTTGGCACATCAGTGTCACAGTGTTTAGCATCACTGCAACCACGAGTTACCTCTGTACAGCAATGCACAGACCACTGCTATATGACGTAGACAAATGTCTGACAAAAAACCAATTTAAACCAGGCGTGAGGGCCGCAAATTAAAATCACCCACCTTGGGCTTGGTAGCATAACTTTCTGTCCACTAGGCCAATGTAGTAGCTCTCTCTGTGTTGTCATCATTGTTGTTAAGTGCCATCAAGTCATAGGCAACTCATAGCAACCCTATGAATGAAAGACCTTTCTCTGTATTTATTCAATCTATATACTGAGCAAATAATTCAAGAAGCTAGACTATATAGAGAAGACTAAGGGACCAGGTTTGGAGAAAGAGTCATCAACTACTTCTGTTATACAGATACAACTTTGCTTATAGAAAATGAAGACTTGAAGCATTTATTGCAGAAGATCAGAGATATTATAATAGATCATAATCTTATTAAAACCTCAGAATTCACAAACCCATTACATAGTTCCTAAAAACACTTAAGTCATCCAAATACTCAACCCCTTGAGAATGAAAATGAACAAAAATTCTATTTACCTCATTGACCACTCCTACAATAATGTATCTACTATTATTCTTATAATTATTGCATTCCCCAATATTCTCTTCCCTCCTCCAACCCAACTAATAAAAAATCATCTATTGTCCATCCAACACTGATTAGTTCTATTAATCATGAAACAAATGATACCTATACATAAATTAGGACAGGGCAGACTTCAGAGGTATTGCACATAGGGTCACTATGAGTCAGTTGACTTGATGGTACTTAACAATAGTAACAAGTCCATAAGGAGTTGTTCTACTAATCCAAAGGTTGTGCCTTGGTTTGAATCCACCAGTGGCTCCGTGGGAGAAAGATGAACAATGTCAATTTACAGTCTTCTGAAGACTCACTGGATGGTCAACTATAAAAATCGGTTCCAATTCTATGACAAAGAATTGAGTTTTAAAACACATAATTTTAAAGACTGAACATGATCTTTTGTACTAATTTCACTACTTTTATTTATTCTCCTGAAGATTTTCCAGAAACGACTGGAACAGTACATAAGCTGAGAACTACCATAAATACAAGCTATATTTAGAAGAGGCCGTGTCACTAGAGACATTATTGACAATGTCAGATGGATCTTGGCTAAAAGCAAAGAGTACCAGAGGAATGTCTATCTTCATTGACTATGTAAAGGCATTTGACTATGTGGATCACAACAAAATGTGGCTAACCTTGAGAAGAATGGGAATCCCAGAAAGTTGATTATAATCCTGCGAAACCTATATTTGGACCAGGAGAACAGCATTGGAATAGAACAAGGAAACACTGTATGGCTCGATCTTAGTAAAGGAGTGCATCAGGGATGCATCTTGTCTCCATACCTTTTCCATTATATGCTGATCATTCAAGAGGCTGGAATTTATGAGGAAGAGAGTGGCATCAGGGTTGGAGGAAGCCTCATCAACAACTTGCACTATGCAGATGATACAACCTTCCTTGCCAAAACTGAGGAGGACCTGAAGTGTTTGCTGCAGGTCAAAGACTGTAGTCTTCAATATGGATTAAAGCTTAGCATCAAGGAAACAAAGATTCTCATCATGATGGATGGAGAAGAAATTGAGGTTGTTAACAATTTCCACTTGCTTGGCTCACAATTAACACTTGCCACCAGTGGTCAGGAAATCAAAAGGCAGATTGCATTGGGGAAGTTTGCAGTCAGGAAATACACCAGAGTGCTGAGGAACAAGGACATAAGTCTACAGACTAAGATACACCTGGTTGAGGCCATGGTCTTAATTACACGCTATGCATTAGAGAGCTGGACAATAACTAAGGATGACAGAAGAAGAAGAACTGATGCCTTTGAGCTATAGTGCTGGAGAAGAATCTTGAACATACCATGGACCACCAAGATAACAAGTAGGTCTGGTTTTGGAGAAGGTGAAACCAAGTTTCTCCTTGGAGGCAAGGATTTGAAGCTCCATCTCACATCGTTTGGGCACATGGCCCAGAAGGACCAGTCCTGGAGAAGGACATCATGCTTGGAAGGAGAGCACATGAGAGGAAGACCCTGGATGAAAGGAATTGACAACGATAACTGAGGCAGTAGGATTAGGTGTGTCAAAGTCAGTGAGCCTGGTTCAGGATAGGGCAGGCTTCAGAGCTGCTATGCATAAGGTCGCCATGAGTTGCAGGCGACTCAATAGTATATAACAACAACATCAAGTCAACAAATGACTATATGACTTTTACATCACTCATTTACTGTCACTATGCAATTCTCAGTAAGTCTAGTTATAACTATTATCCTGTGAGCTAAAGCTTCTATAGCCCACTTTGTCCCACAAGGTATTCCGTTTCGTTAATCCCAATATGCATAATTATTGAAAAAAAATGTCTTTTTTTATTTAACTAATAGCATCTACTGTCTGATTAGTAGACAACATTGTAATGTAAACTACCTTCTAATTCACCTAATGGGGAAGAGTGGGTGGTGCCAAACTGGCCCTCTTAACCACCAGCTGGTATTCAACCCCCTTAACCCACTAGAAATTCCAAGCACAGCTGTCATTACACCGCATCACCCTGTCATGGATTGAATTGTGTTTCCCAAAATGCTATGTATAATACGATATTATGTGGAAACGATAATGATCCCTTGTGGTCTAGCAAGCCAGTTCTTGTTGTTACATGCCTTCTAGTTGGAACCAAGTCATAGCTGCCCTTCTAGTGTGTTTCAGAGGCTATAAATCATGCTGGAAGAGACTGTCCCATCTTCCTCCGATGGAGCAGCTGGTGGATTTGAACCTCCTGCCTTGAGCAGCAGCACAACTCCTTACCCCTAGATAAGCAGAAATTCCTGCTATGTTATAATGTTATGTTCTGTCAAGTCAGAACAGACCCATATCTGACTCTCCTGCAGGTTTTCAGAATCTGTAAATCACATGGGAGGAGACTGCCCATCTTTTTCCTTCAGAACAATTTGTAGATTTGGACCTGTACCATTAGGTTGGCAGTGTAATTTACTCTGATCTCATCACAGTACTAATCTGATGTGAAGGGAAATCTGGTGGTTTAGTGATAAAGGGTTGTGCTATGAACCCAAAGGCTCACAAATCAAATTCACCAGTTTCCCCACAGGAGGAAGATAGGCAACCTCCACCTATTAGAGCTTCTGTAAACTCACTAGAGGGCCAGCTATGAATTGATTGAGATTTCACCACACATAACAACAATCCAGTGTAAGGAGAGCTCCTCTAGGTTGTGGCCTGTAATAAATACCTTTTATCCCATTCAAGAAGCCAGTCAAGAAGTAAGGGAGGCACCTTGGTACTACCAAGAAATAATTACTAAGAGTAAACTGCATCTCTTTGTATGTAGGCTTCTACAAGACAAAAAGCCCTGTTTTACAGGGGAAAGCCAAAACACATGGAGATCTCCAGGGAATGATGACTTACAGATGCTGAGAGAAACAAGGACATTCCTCTACAACCAACAGAGAGGGCTTTTCCCTAGAGCTGGCCCCCTGAATTTGGACTTCTAGCCTCCTCAACTATGAGAGAATAAATTGTTGATAGTCATCTACTTGTGGTATCTCTGGTATAGCAGCATTAGAGAACTAAGACTCACCTTATTACAAGTTATTGATATATGTATTTAACACACATGATAAGTACCCATCATGTGCTAAGTTCAGTGTTAGATATTTTCCCCAACTATCTCACTAGCTAAAGACAAATATAAACAATATATAGAGAAATCTCAATTAAGGGCAAAACCTGAAATTCATTGCAGTCAACTATGGGAGATGGGATTTCCTGAAAGAAATTTCAAGTCAAAAAGAATACAAACAAAGGGACCACTCTATTCGTCTTTTGCCCCAGCGATGGCTCCAACACTTTCATTATATGTCCTCCTCCTCAAAACTCAATTTAGATTAGCTGTGGTCTCTAAAATTAATTCAACATTTCTGTCTGATCTGGTTAAATAGCTGGTTTTCCTTCATTCTGAGAAGTACCTAAAGCAGGAACAGAAAAACTCAGCCCCATTCATTTGTTATATTCAATACCTTTCCTACATGTTAGATAGGAACACCTACCCTTTCTCTTCTACACATAACAAAGAGAAAAACCAGACATAATGTGATGGTAAGGTCTTGTAAATAGTTTTGTACATTTCAGCAAGTGTGGCAAAGCTGCAATGGTTTAAAGTGTAAGGCAAAGGCATTTGTGTCTGGAGGGATGAAGTTGCCCCGCACTAGGGATCTCCAGGTGTAGTCTTAACATTTTCGGATTTAGTAGAAGTCTTTGTACGAGGTGCCGATTTGTCCTGGGTCTTTCTGTTAGAGATGTGATTAGTTTTAACCAAGGCTGACTTCCAAATGGCCTGTTCGGTTGTCTTCTTGGAATTTTCTCTTCTCTTGTCTTCGAATTTGGCCTCTGGCCTCCTCTTTTCCTTTCTAGTCCAAAGTCTCTGTTTTTCTGTCATCTTGGATCTTGCTTTCTTCTTGGCCCTGGGATGCAGCAGATCCTGGGTTTTTGACTTCTGTTTCTTCATCTGCGAGTCTATTTTCGTGGTTTGCCTCCGTATTTCCTTGGCCCTCTTAGCAGTCTTGAGGCACATGAGGCGCCTCCAGCGTTTTCGAGGCACTGGCATAGTTTTCCTCTTCCTCTGAGAGTAGAAGCCCTCTTTCCACTTCTTGCGTCTCGGCTTTCTCTTGGACTTTGGAACCTTACAGACCCTGAAGTGACCTGCAGCATTACTGCCATTGAAGACCCTTAGGAGCGTGCCCTTAGCCCCAGGCCTGGAATTTTGGCCTGAGTGGAGGCCACTGTCCTTGCGCACTTGGTAGCCAGCATTGCCCAGCTCCTTCTTGAGAGTGGCCAGAGTCAGTTTCTTGTGTGTTGCCATGGCCCAAAGCAGTAGCTGGGTCACTTTGAGCACAGAGCATGCGCGTCTCTTCCGTAGGATCCTGAGCATCTTCCACGCAGGCCACTGGATTTTAACTTGCGCACCAAGGGGTACACCCCTGGACTGTGCTGGCCCGGCCTCCATAACCATGGCCCCGCCCCCGCCTCTGCGGGGCCACTGACTTTGGGCCTCACCACGAGGGGCCTGATCTAGGTAAAAGCGGGCCCAGTGGACCAGGGCCACGTCACAAAAGCGGACCAAGCTGAGATTCTGCAGGTAATAATCAGAGGGTGGGGTCAAAGAGCGGTGTGCATTGAGAGTTGTATTGTTAATATAACTTCTCTATTAGTTCAAAGCCACCACCAACTCTTCCAGAGAAAGATGGACAGTCTCCTGTGCAATTTACAACCTCGGAAATTTGTTGTAGGATCAGCTATAAATCCACGAATAAGAGGGCTGTCAAGTCCCATCCAGATGGAGGCTTTTTTCATTTTTAATAAACAATTAGATGCCGATTCCTTCTTAGGCTAAACCAATTCAGATCTTTAGGGTCTGTGAACCCCTAACAATGAACAATCACGGTTCTTTGTAATCTCCAGAGTTTCGGTCCCTGTGAAATTGCTGTAAATCAGGGAGACTTGACAAAAACAAATTCTCACTAATCCTGAACTTAACCGCTTTCTAAAGTCTGCTATTTTTTCTGTGCTTCTGCACACTGTCATACTCATAATTTCCTAATATAAGAGAAGCTACTCCCAACTAAGTATAGATTTCTCATAAGCAAAATTAAGTCTTCTGAGATTCCCATTCTTCTCAATCACAGAACACTTGATTGTCCTTATGAGAAATCTATAACCAATAGAAGTGACTTCATGTTAGAGTTACTTCAACAGATAATCCCTACTTGGCCCTTTAATTTCCAAGTTTTGAAATAATAACTTCCTCTGCTTTCCTCTGGTATAGAAGTTACTCTCTATTTACAGAGAAAGCATCCTTTCCTCACTAGGGAAGCTCTTAAGGAGAACCACAGAGATATTTATTTGCTTTTTACAAGTTCTTCCATGGTTGAGAGTTGTTGTTGTTGTTGTTGTTAGGTACTGTTGAGTACAATTCACAGCAACCCTATGAACAATAGACTTGAACCTTGCCCTATACTGTGCCATCCTTATCATCTCTTGACACCCTAAAGCCCATTGCTGAAGTCACTGTGTCAGTCTATCTCATTGGGATCTTCCCCTCCTTCACCAGCTCTCCATCTATCCAAGCGTGATGTCCCTTTCCAAGGAATAGCATCACCAACTACATGTCCAAAGTATGAAAGATGAAGCTTCACCATCTTTGCGTCCAGGGAGCCCCCTGGCTCTACTTTCTCCAAGCTATACCTATTTATCCTTTTTGCAGTTCATGGGACATTCAGTACTCTTCTCCAGCACCACAACTCAAAGACATCAATAGTTCTTCTGTCATCCTTATTCATTGTCCAGGTCTCTGATTCAAAGGAGTAAGACGAAATCATTGGTTGTGTTAATTGTACAATGCTTGCTGAAAGCGAGGAGGACTTGAAACTCTTCCTGCAGAAGATCAAGGATTCTAGCTTTCAGTATGGGTTACATCTCAATATCAAGAAAACAAAGGTCCTAACTATAGGACCAATAGTCAATATCATGATAAATGGAGGAAGGATTGAAGCTCTGCTCTCAATGATTTCATCTTACTTGGATCAATGTTCAACACCATTGGTACCAGCAGTCAAGAAACCACGAGACATGTTGCACTAGGCAAGTCTGCTGTGAGGAACCACTCCAAAATCCTAAAGGACAAATGATACCAGTTTGAAGACTAAGGTGTGCCAGATTCAGACCACAGGTGTTGATTTAGAACTTCAGTATTTTTTTCCATCTATCATGATGTTGTTTATTGTTCTGGTGATGAGGAGTTTTATGTTCTTGATGTTACGATGTCATCCGTATTGAAGACTGTGGTCCATATTCAATATATAATCCATATTGTAGTTCTTATTCAATATGTAATCAATACTAAAGTCTAGTAAACTTCTTAAGTGTTCCAGATGTTCCTCACTTTCAGCAAGCATGGTTGTGTCATATTCATAATAAAGGTTGTTGATGAGTATACCTCCAATCCTGATGCCACAGTCTCTTTACAAAATCCAACTTCTCAAATTATTTTCTCAGCATACAGATTGAATAAGTATGGAGAAAGAATACAGCCCTGACACACATCTTTCTTTATATATAGAAAGAAATATAATATATAAAATATATATTAGAATAAATAGTATATATAGAAAAACATTTATATGTTATATTTATATGAATATATATTTTAATATCAGTTTATTAAGTTCAATGATGAAAGCTATCAGAAGAATATACTCCTGAAATTTCCTTTTTCTTAGGAAAAAAAAAAAGAAAAATTAAACCCTTTTAGCAAAGCCACAGATGCTAGGGCAGTCATTACTTCTCTAAGATGGATACAGTCCATTAGTTGGTCATGTCACTATCTGGATCGGCAGGACTGTAGTCTGGGTCATCCTCATCAACTTCCAGCTCCAAGTCATCTTTTTCTTGAAACAAAGACTCATCTATTCTTCATTATCTCCAGCATCCTCCAAGAACTGTATAGCAGATGTATCAAGATTATTATCTGTTTCAAATAGCTGTTTCCCAGTTAATTTATTTCCCCCCTGCTTGTTCCTTTTCTTTTTCTTGTTATTTTTAATTTTCAAGCGTTCTGCAACCAACTTGGCTTTCCAACTTAAGAATTTATATATTGTAACAGCAGTGCTATGAAATAGGTGATTTTCAGCTTCTGCTTCATTTTGTTTCTTTTCTTCTTCTCGTTTTTATCTATTTCATTTAATTTTTCTTGCACAGCTAACACTGAAGATCATTACCATATCAATGTTTTCTTCTGCCTATGATGCTAATAATTTTTAAATATCTGATATTTTGTCATCTGCCAGATGTTTCTTGGAGAGTATTTCACAAAGGGTAACTTCATCTGGGTAATTTTCACTATCGATACACATTTGACTATGTGGATCATAACAAAATATGGTTAGCATTGAGAAGAATGGGGATCCTGGAAGTCTCATGTGAAACTTAAACCTAGACCAAAAGACTGTTATGTAACTAGAGCAAGGGAACACTGTTGTTGTTGTATATCATTGAGTCAGAACTCTACATGGTTTAAAATTAAGAAAGGTGTGCATCCCATCAGTATTCTCTCTACATATCTATTCAATCCATGTGCTGAGAAAATTATTTGAAAAGCTGAACTCTGTGAAGAAAAACATGCATCAGGATCAGAGGAAAATTTGTCAATAAGCTATGTTAACCACACACAACCTTGCTTGTTAAAAGTGAGGAGGACTTAAAATGCTTCCTGCAGAAGATCAAAGAATACCGCTTACAATAATAGATTGCATCTCAACATCAAGAAAACGAAAATCATCACCACTAACTAATAGGCTGTATCATGATTGATGGAGAAAAGGTTGAAATTGTAAACAATCCACAATCAATACCCTTGGTACCAACAGTAAGGAGATCAGGGGTCATATTGTACCAAGGAAGTCTACCAATCAGGGACCTCTCCAAATTATGGAGGAGCAATGATGTCAATTTGAAGACTAAGGTGTGTTGGATTCAGAAAAAGGTCTTTTCAGTCACCTGCTGTGCACCTGGGAACTGGATAATGAATAAGGATGAGAGTAGAAAAATTGACAACTTTGAGCTGTGGTGTTGAAGAATAGTACTTAATATCCCAGGGAATGCCAAAAGAACAAGCAGATATGTCTCAGATGAGGGGCAGCTAGAGTGCTCCTTGAAGGCAAAGTGTCATCTCACATACTTTGAAGATGTTGCTAGGAGAGGTTATTCCTTGGAGAAGAACATCATGTTTGGGACAGCAGAGGGTCGGGGAAAGAGAAAAACCATCAACCAGATAGATTGACACAGTGGTTGCAACAATAGGCTTAAATATGTCAGAGATTGTAAGGATAGCACAGGATAGGATAGAGTTCGGGTCTGTTGTTCAGAGTCACTATGGGTTGGACTGGAATGAACAGCACCTAACAACAAGATGTGCTGTGTTGTTGTTATGTGCCGTCGAGTCGTTTGCGACTCATAGTGACCCTATGCACAACAGCCCTAAACGCTGCTCTATCCTGCGCCAACCGCACCGCCTCTGACACACCCATCC